AATAAAAAAGTTACTGCTGCAATTTATTTAATAATTTCGTATTACATCATACATACATTACAAGTATTACATACATGCATCATCTAAAATTGTTTCACTTTAAGCGAATGAGTGTTTTTTACAATTTAAAGGAACCGTAAGTATATCCATAGTATTTGGGAGAATCAATAGAATGACAAATATCAATTTTATACCCTTCTTGATGAGTTTTTCAAAATTTCAAAGTTATAAGTAGATTGTAATATTCTATATTCTAAAGACCTCGATTCATTAGAAATTATTTATTGCGTTATGGTTATTACTTTTAAAGTTTCAGAAAAAAAGTCAAAACAGTCTTCGTCCTCAAAAACCCTATATGTCCATATGAGGGTTATTAAATTTATTCAACATGTTTCTAGCTTTTAAAGGTTCATCGTCAGCATTATTAAATGGCGATCGTATCGCTCATATTTAATCGAAATTTAATATTGCATATAAGAGAAGAAAAGTAAGCAAAAATGGTTGCTACAGCACATTATCAATTTTTGGATTACTTTATTATTACGCTTCAAATTATAGATTTAAAAACAGAAAGGAAACATCCTTGTCTACTCCACACCAACTAAATGTAAAATTTGTATTAAAAAATGAGTCAGTCTGGTTCGAGCATTCAAGTGCGGAGCGAGAGCACTCTAATATTAGGTTAAAATTTTAAATGTTAAATATTTGAAGGAGATTTACTTGACTATAATTATACTAAGTTTTAAGTTTCTTATAGTATAAGCGTTAGCTGAAAATGAGCCACTTAAGTGCCCAACATATGGTTGGTTTGGTTTGAAAAATATGTTTTGTTATTACTAAAAAGTGCAAGTAGTCGAATAGTTTTCGGGCACTCTGTATTTAACATTATTCCAAAATTTAATTCACTCGGTGCCTGAGTACCAATTTAAACTCAAGCCTAACACGTCACTGGGTCGTTTTGCTGTGATTCTACGTCATGAATAAAACAAATATTCCGAGAAACATGAGAAATTCATACGAAAGCCAATAAAAGCGAACAAAAACACACACGAGCCAGACATGAAAAATCAGAAAAGATTGTCTGCATTCCAATGATACGCAAATTGCAGTGTCTGGGTTTCTCAACCATATTCCCATTTGCATCAATAGGAGTATCTAAACAGGTGTATTGTCATCAATGCGTGCTTGAAATAAAAATTGTTGAGGTTGAAGAACAGTTTTTTATGGAGAAACTTGCTTTTAATGGACAGTACATTTATTCAAATATTTCTATCGATAGTCAAAACGTGGGGTTAAATTTTTCTCAGAAATTTTTGGTTAGTTTCTGCTTTGTTTATTATTGTAAAACTTGTTACCTTGCTCGACTTGTCACAGATGTCTACAGAACTATAAAATATTAATTACACTGGTAATAGTGATTCAGATTGCGCAATCTGGCACATTTTCATATTTAAAATGGTAAATTATTAATTTGTTGAAATAAAATAACAATTTACTTATAACATGTACCTATGTGATAGATATAGGAGATCGAAAAAATAGAATAATATTTGATTAAAACTAAACACAATTGAACAGTATTACCCAAACTGGATTTTTATATTTGGAGATCTCTACTAGCACATAGAACATTAGCAAAATATAGGCAAGATTGGGAATAGTAAAATGCATTGATTTGATATTCATTAAAAGAAATTTTACCATTTCCGGAGATAAAAAAAAACTTCTCAATAAAGTAACATTTGGCAGAATCATAATTTTTCAAAAAGAAAACTAACAATTAAGTTATGATATGAAATGGCGAGATTTTATGGTGTAATTAACGCCCTGTACATATTGTGCGAAAAAATTGAATGCAACGAGAAGTTAACCTTAACACCCTGTATGTCTCTGAGTGACATTTCGCTAGGGCATATTTAGCTCAATATAATTATTTTCACGATCTTGCTCAAGGATGCGTTTCTGGCCCGTGCATTATCAACCAGTGTTTGAAATGCACGTCAAAATGATTGCCTAACAAATTAGGAAAAAAATTATATGAAATCAATAGGCAAGTTTGCGAGAGCTACATTTTACAGTGTTTTTTTTTCCTTAGTAAACCTCACTTGACCATAAGATGTAAAAATTATTATATTGTTAAATATCGCTTAACATACGCACATATTTTCTTCCCTGTCAAAATATTCGCAAAACACATCAATCAATTTAAGAAAAGCAAATACCTGGATGTTAAACGATATACCATAGAAAACTTAAAAAAAATGATACCTAGAATCTGACATGATAGTTTAATTGACAGCACTCCCGATTATTTCTGAAGATAACCTAACCTGATTTAAACACAACAAAATAAGGACATAGCTGCTAAAAAAGCGTTACTTTCTTCATTTAGTGAGGCACGAAAGTCACTCGGAACGTGAATTTTTAATTTTTAATATGGGAGAGACTGCCGAAAAAGTAAATCGATGATGTGAAACGTCCCCTGAGTCAAGAGATTAATTTTTTCAAATGTACCGAAGCAAAATTTAAAAAGTCAGTCGTCAGTCGTGATGTGGCTTTTAGCTAATATTTTATTTTTGTGTATTTCTGTGTAGGACATTTTTATTAAATTATGTGAGACAGGTTTGCCTATATGAGAGTCTGAATTGAACTTCCCCACGAAAACGAATTAGTAATAAATAAATAATCAAATAAATAAGTAAAAATTAAAACCCCAAAAAAGTATCTGTTCACTAGAAAAATAGTCCACATATAGCTATGCCTTTTTGGACATTAATAAGAATTTAAATATGGCAAAGTTGAAATTTTTTAATAAAGCATTATTTAGGTATTTATTAATTGATTAAATTAATACGCTAAGTATAGGGTAAATAAATTAAGATCATTGATTTTCATAGAGAACAACGTATTATAAAAAGAAAATTTTTAGTTAATGTTAAATTGCTTCTAGTTCCTTCCTTTAGCAAATCCAGGAGAAGTTTGTAAGTGCAATGATATAAGTACAGAAAGTCTTACAAGTTCAAGAAATTGATTACACACAGAAAAATTTACCATATTAACTCGATGTTTAATGAGTTTTTTTTTTCTGTTATATCCAAAAATCAGGATGGTCATCTCTCAATATGTTATTCCCCTCACCTATTGTTTCTGCTCCTGTCTAAAAAAAGTAATAAATGACTATATCTCTTAGTCTTAGTGATGATAAAGTACTCGATATGGATTTGAACAAAAAATCATAAAAATGTACACATTTTTATTTGCTGGCTATAACTAACCCCAGGGTCGCGTTAAATTAAAAATTGTTTATTACGCTTTGCGATAGTACGTACAATACAATAACAAATTACAAAGGCAATTCAAAATATCATGGAGATAAGTTCGACCTGCTTTAATAAATTATAACTACTTCACAGAATATGTACTGACAGTGTTGTTTACTGTTGAGCAAAGGTGTCTGTTTAATTAGGGCTAGTAAAATAATAAGTTTGTAATGGTTGTATATATATGGCACATAGTGTTGGGACTGGTCAATCGACCACTTCTTAATTGACTAGTCAAAAAATGTTTTAAATAACATCTTGCAATTGTAGAGTACTGTCTATCATTATTTAACAATATGTATTTCATAATAAATTATTATGCGTTTGGGATGTGCAATTTACCTATAACCCTCTTCAGGGAATATCCGAATACGATCCTTAGCGATTCGGGAAATCCCAATAATAATATCGACTGGATTTGTTTCCTAGAATTACGTGAAAGGTGACGTAACGCATTATATAGAAAAATATAAATAAGTTAATATTAATTTCATCGTATTTTTAAAATTATTTCGGTCAATTCCACAACCGTAGATATACTTCAGGTCAGCAAAAAACAATATTGTTAAACATATTGAAACTGTTTCGAATTTGTTTTCAGCCATCAAAACTATCCGGCAATTATTATAATCTTTTAAAATTTTTGTCGAATCTCTCGCAGTGGAGTGCCACAAAAACTGGTAGATGTTTATATTCGGCGGAACTATCGTTAATACAACCTAAAACTCATTTGATACGATACAGAAATTAGGACAAAAAAAACAAATTTAAATTCGAATAGGGCGTATTTTATGGTTTGTACTTTGAACGAATTTATAATATAGTTTATGAGTTTTCATTTATATTGCACAAAACAATATGATTTTTTAAATTGATTATAAAATATTTTTTAAAAACATAATGGATTAAATAATGAATCGATTGAACCTTCCTCTAAAATGTGCTATGGTAATTGTTTCTCACTCCCATCAAAACATTTCTAAAAACCTTTTTTACGTTTAAAAATTCCATTTTTTATTTAGCATACAATTTTTTGGATTAAAACCCTACAATAATGTAAACAAGAAATAGATGGACAAAAGATATTAAGAACTTTTTTCTCACTTTTAGGAGATTTTTAGTAAACAAATGACAACTTAATATTTATGCAATTTTAGGTAATAAATTAAAATGTTCGCAATACCTACTTAAATCCTTTTGAAATACGGTTATACAAATCAAAATTGCCGTTCCTGCCACATATTAGCAAACTGCATATTCGAACAACAGAGGATTTTGCTGCGTATAATACCAAAACCAAGTTGAAATTCAAAAATATTGCCAATCCCAACCCCAAGAATAGTAAGCATAACTGAAACACAAAACATGCAAAATAAATCATAATATGAAGTGGATGATCTTTTTTTTTAATATGAATTAAATCACAGATTTGTGTGTGTATGGAGAAGCTGGTAAATACAAACTGTATTTCAGTACGGAAATTAATAGAACGGAAAAAAAGCGTCTCTTTTTTTTTTGATTAGCTTTTACCACATATTGAACCGTTAGTTATTTGCATTTTCGATGCAGAATCAAACTGTTGCGTTGTGAAAGCAAAAAACAAATTAGGCTACCAAAACACAGTCGGGGGGTAATAAAAGTACACAGAAAATACTCAATTTTCTTTATGTGTAGGTAGGTATACATTATACATACATAAACACAACAATATGTATTTTGAACACAACAAGTAAAAATATAAAGCTATAATAAAGATAGGAAGGTACAAAACGTTTTTTCAAAAGTTAAATAGATTTTTGGGGCATCGCCGAGTTATAAAAAAAAACAATAAATAAGTAGTACACTTTCGTTTAAAGCAACATCGCAAAAACTGAAATTTAATCCATATCGTCAAATTTAACATAATAAAATAATATATCATATTTTTTCAGAGATCGTCGTGGAACCGCGAAAAGAAGACGATTGAAAAATACATATCATGTAGAATTTCGCAAATTCAGTCACTCAATGACCTAGTTGTAGAAATATATACACTTTAACTACCTAGAACTCTTTTTGAGTTATATTCTTAACATATTGTGACACTTGACAAGGATCTACTAGTAAAAATGCTAAGAATTTTTTGTGTAATTTAGTGGCTATAGCGGAACAAATTATTAGATATATAATTACATAACGTTTTATCATCTTAGGATTCGATGTTAAACAAAAAATTCTTAGCGCAAAACTGTCTACCAATTTAAGTTAGTATTATAATCTGCAGTTAAATTCGGATTTCTAGAGAAGGTCTCTCAGATTTAATATAAATTACGTTTAAGTGATAAAACACGAAAAAACGAATCTCTTGCCAACCTACCGCAAAATAAAAGATTGCTTTCAACCGTATACAACAAGCTACAGATATACAGGTACCTACTAATTAATATATACAAGGGAAAATCGCGTCCATTCATGGAAAAAAAATAATTTGGCATTGTTTAAACAATTAGTTTTGTAGTGTGAAACGGTGGCTCCTTCGGTGGAACTCGTACCGAAAACGACAATTATGGCGCATTCTTTAAGCGTGCCTAACCACTAACTTCAATAATTTACTATACATTTAGGCTATATAAGCAACACCGAGTAACATTTTCTTTAAACACGATTTCAAGTGCGGTCTGTTCACACAGCAACCTTTCTGCTGCGTTAACCGAGCTATTTGCTGGTATAGTAGTGACGCTCTCCCAGTAAAACGGAACTTTTTTTTCTTGGAAAAGGTTGTATAAATCATTAAAAATGGTGTTGTCTGGAACATTTTTATTCCTAACATCAGAAAAGTGCTATGTGTTCGGACACAAATTGATTATATTATAGTGGCGAAAAATTTGACAGTCGATGAATGTATGTACAAGGTCTTAACGATAATTTTTTTTCTGTTGATCACTGATCCATCCTATCTATTTATAAGACTTAATTCATAAATTGTATAAAAAACAAAACAATAAAAACGACTAAATGAACAAATAATTGCACGATTTAGCGGAGTAAGATGCAGAATCGGAGATTGCAGAACTGCACCGAATTCGAAATTAAGCACTTTCTGACGTTTTAGACTTTTGACTTTCGAAAATATAATCCCGCAAATGATCAGTCAATTTTTCTCTATTCTATCGATATCTCGTGCTTCGCACAATTTGCACAGGCCCTGCTAGCAAGTCAAAATTTAAAACAAAAAAAATCTAAAATACCAACGACTCTTTGGCACAGCATGAGTTCCAGGGTTGCGTTCCGACAGTGTTTAAAAGTAACAAAAACACCCCAAAAGTCTTATTCGACGCAAACGGTTTACTAAAGGGTCGATCAAGCGGCCAATCCGTGATGATGGCCCAGTACGACCCCTGAGAAAGCCATAGGTCACTGATGATGCTTTAACGTTCCGTTGGCGGGAACGTGGTGATTGACTACGTGGTGTTGAGAATGTAAATGGTGATGCGAGTGATGATTCTGGTTGTTGGTGGCGACATTATTGTTGTTGGCCTGCTGCGAGGCTTGCCTCTGGGTATTCTTTTTATTTTTCATTCGCCTGTTTTGAAACCATATTTTGACTTGCCGTTCGGTGAGGTTCAAATTCCGCGCCAATTCCCAACGTTTTTGTTTCGAAACGTACGCGTTAAAAAGGAACTCCTTTTCTAATTCTAAAGTTTGGAATTTCGAGTAGGGTTTGCGTTTTTTACGAACGGTTACTTGACCCGTCCATTCTAAGGGATTGGCGCCGGCGCCACATGGCACACTTACGCCCATCGATCCCAGAGAACCTGCAAAAGATATACAACAGAATTAGTTACCAAACAACAGTGCGAAACTGGCTGTCTAGGTATTTTTAAAACATTATTCTGCCAAAACAAAAACCGACGTAGAAAATAGAACTTCAAATAAGTTCATTAATGACCGACGGTCATTGAAAATAAAATTTGGCAATATAACTCGAACGAATTAAATTATAAAATAGAGTATGTTGGCTCTATAACGTAATCAAAGCACGTTTCGTTAAGCGTAGTTTGCAATGAAGATTTTCATTGATGTTTCATGTACAGGATGGGAGTGTCCGTTCAGAAAGTTCACCGCTCGATTTTTGCGAAAACTAAATATGAAAAGCTCATCTTAATATCGCAGCTCGTTTCCAAATTACGGGGTGATGTTTTGTTTTTGATAATTCCTTTAACTTTTTGAACTTTTTTTTACTAAAAGTGAGAACATTGCTTGTGAGATACATCATTTCAAAGGAAATAGTATAAATAATAAACATAAATAAAATAAGAAAAAAAAAACACCTTTAGGTTACATCTCCAAAACTAATTGTAATTGGACACTTGTGTTTTATCTAGCGGAATCACCCCACAAGATACGAAAAATTGGAATTTTTTAAAAATAAAGCAGTTTTGGAAACTTTGAAAATTTAGACATCATGCGATTTTCATATTTCATATCAATAATCGAACTCATACATATCCCGTCATTTTTCGGTAGAAAAATCAAAAATCATAAAATCTCATCGAAATCTGCCCACCCTGTATATAGATTCCCATAGCAAATTTTACTGATTCTGTTTTTAGTTTTAGTCTAACTTTAAATTTTTTTATTTATTGACAAAAAAATGATCAATGTATCACTTGTTCATCAGTTCATATGCGTTCCAAGAAATTTTATAAGAATACTTGAGTTTCCGACAAACGCTGCAGTTAGAAAAGGAGGCACAAACGGAAAATGCGTGACAAGGGAGTCAGCTGTGCGGGTCGTTCTCGGTCATATGACTGCGTCCGATAATTCGTGACGTCACAAGAGGCATCGGAAAGTGGCATGCCACACCGCTAGCTGCCTCGTTATATCCCGCCTGTTCTCTGTATTGCTCATCTTTAGAGTCCCGTACATTGTTGCCGATGCTGCATAGCGCGTCCGCAAATAAGCCTTTTGCACCTCACGACTAAAAATTTAAAAATTCCTAAAAGCAGCAGGCGCAGAGTTCTCTTTAAAATACTTTACAGATGGCGCCACCTGGCTGTAACATTTTTTTCTTTTTCCATAATAATATAATTATTAATGAAGCCTACGATGAAATGTAAACTATTTCAAAAGATTCGAAGTAATTCGAAGTCTACATCAAGTTTGAAATTAAAATATTCATAATTATTTTAGTAATTACTAAAACGTATATAATTTAATAATCCATATTAAACTTTTTTTTAATATTCCAAATAATTTCGAATTGAAGATATATTTAATGCCGATAAAGGGTTGTTTCTATTAACACCGGCAACACTGGGCAGAGCCTTTTCGTGTGCAAAGGTAAATATTTATTTGCTGAATAGTGAACACTTGTTTTATTGGTAATTAATAAAGATGGTTCCTAATTTGAAAATGAAATTATAATAAAATAATTTAAATTTTAGGGCAGCAACAACAAAATGTGTCGCTGTATAAAAAAAAAATATTAAAATAAAAAGAAATAAAAACTATTTCGCTTTCCTTTCAACATAATTTAGTATAACAAAAATTAATTAATGTTATATTAATGTTAATTGTTTAAATTTTGCCATCGCTTCAAAAATCGAATTTGCTTCAATTTTAATAGGTGCCAAAACCAAAACAGAACAATAACTATCTGTAATACAAACGTGTAAAATTGCCGCCGAAATGTTTAAAGAGTCACTCAACTGATAGTAACACTAGTGGAATAGTAGTACGAGAGTTATAGCACTTTTACTATGCCATAAAACTGACCTTGGTCATAAAATTCGTTAAAAATCGTCAGTTAAACGAACTTAATTATGACTGTTTATCTTCAAATATTTTTTATTTGCAACGTGCAGCATTCTTGGATGATTTATCGCCAACTATTTCGTGCGGCAAATTGACTTTAAAAATTAACCGATCAAAATCCAGAGATACATCAAATCTATTTATTGGACCAACGCGATTCTAAACAATAAACAGTGATAAGCGCAATCAGCAACGGCGAGTAAGAATCGTGACGGTGTATTGATTTTTGCAACACAATAACGGAGACTCAAATCTAACTGAAGTAAAAGGACCACCGTGCCCGAAAAACGCGGAGGAACACAATATTGAATGCTGATGCCATCTATGGGGATGCGCGGAAATCAAATGCGCGAACTTTGGAAATACGTGTGTGGCCAAACACGTAGGTTGTACATCGTTCCAAATGACATTGAATTAAAATGATATTGTTTAATTATTTAAAACAAATAATGCGACTTACGTAACAAGCATTTCAAACCGGAAATGTTTTTGACAAAAACCACACACGTAAAAAAAAACAAGCACAATGAGTTATTGAAGGTTTTTTAAACACGACTTACCAGGTGGAGGGTATGGGGTGGATGGCACCGATTCGGGAGCACCATAATTGCCGAGACCATAACTTCTGTCGTGCGGGTGTGCAAAACCGGCACCCTCCAACGCAGCCACTCGACTTCGGTCGTCCGTGGGTGTTAAATAAGGCCCATCGACGTGGTGCCTCGTCGCCGTGGGGTACGGTGAATTGTACACCCCGCACCACGAGCTGGTGCCGAATGACTGGTGGCAAGACGAAGACACAGAAGGATCCGCACTTGTACTCCGACTGTTATATTTGTATTCCGGAGTCGATGCTGCCGCTGTCGCCGCGGGGGACCAAAACAACGCACCCTTATGGTCGCGATTCCCACCAGCATCGGCCGAGATATTGTAATACGGAGGACTGTTGTATTGGTCGAAAGCGATAGCCCCGTGGTGATTTTCGGATGGTGAATAGGGCCAATGGCTTGTTTGACTGTGTCGTATTACGCTACTGTCGGTACAATCGCCATATCCTCCCGACGTCAGTCTTTTGGCGGGAATATGCAATGGACCTGCGGATCCACTATTGCTCGTCACACTCGCCGGAGATGAGCTCGACGTCGCCGAAGTGGTGGCAGCAGGTGGATTTATGGTAGCCGGAGGGCTCGTCATACCGCTATTACTGATGGGGGTGGCAGCGCTCTGTGGGGCGGATGGAGGTGGGCTTTCTTCGTAACCGTTCATCATTGCCCACCAGCTCACCCCGGTGGAAGACACCGCTCCGGTGGCTGGGGAGGATCCGGGCGGATGCACCACATGGTCGTACAGGGTTGGCGCGGCACAAGCCACGGGGTCGGCGATGGTGATGATGATGGTGTCGAAAGACGGCGATCACAGCATGGAAAGTAGACGCACACGCGGGAAAAATTTGCAGGAAACGTCAGGCGAATTATGAAAAAGACACAAAAAGCACCGGGATAAGCGACGATGTCCCTTGACACATTTAACGATTTCCAGCAAAAACTAAATCAAGTCGATTCGAACGTTGGGGTCGTGTCACTTTCTAATGCCTGGGTCGAAAAGTGCACATAAATTAACGCCGATACGGCACCCGTACGTAAAAAATAAAGTTTACGAGCCGTAAAATATTTTATTGGCGGTAGCAATTATTTATTTATGTTCTTTCGGTTCTGTAGAAATTTTAATTCTTCAACTTACTAAACAGACAACCACCGTTTGTTGCAGTTCGGTTTTCAAAAAATTACGGAAGAGAGTAAAAAATCGAACTTTAAAACTTCGCGGCAGCGGCGAACGAATACGTAAATAAGAGGGGTCTCACGGAGTGACATGAGCGAACTCGTGCACGTGTGTTGACTGTCGCTTGAATAAAGTTGCGGGCACACACTGGAGTCGTGTGAAGATCGCGATACAGTCCAAGTCGGATCTGACGGCGACGCGCGTGCGACCTAGCGACGACTGCGGGAAACGCCGCGATATGAGACTCACGTAGCGAAGGCAGATCAAGCAGAGACCTACGGAGAATTAAATTGAACCCGAGGATGATTGCCCGGGTAATCCTTTTTTGTTCGGAGATTGCTTCGGAATAAATAGATCTTGTTGAAGGGTGGCCTACAAAACTTTAAGTGTTCTTCGGCGATTTTTTTTTTTTAATTTTAAATGGCGACCCATCTGTTCCATAAATAGAACTGAAATTCAATTTAATCTGGCAACTTTTGCCATAATTTGGTTGGAAATTTTGGAGTCGAAGTCCCCAACATTAATGCACCCTTTTAAAAAAAGTGGGTAAAGGTACGTTTTTTATCCTTTTAACGAAACCGTTTCAAACAAACTGATATTGAAGATTCATTCTTATAATTTCAAGTGGAACTTATTTTGTAGGCGTACAGTAATTATTTAAACAGTATAATATAAGTAACAACCAAAATAGCTTAGTGATTTTTATTCACAATTGTTAGAAGTTTACTTCCTCTGTTGTTCGTTAGCTTGAATTTAATTTTTATTGTTTTTTTCTAAAATTGTTGCCTTTCCTACCATAATATTTATTAATTTTTTTTTCAAGGGAAATGTTAAAAAACTTCAATAAATTGGTGCTACTCTTTTGTCTTATTAACAAAAGGTCATAAGCAAAAAATTGAAATGCTTTTACCAATTAAGGAAACGATTTTTTTGTAAATAAAAATTTTAATTCACTTAAATACTGACATGCGTTTCCTAGATATTTTATATTGGGCCAAATTTAGTTGCAGAAAGTAACAAAAAAGAAACAAAAATCTATACGGATATTTTTTTAAATGAACCTTCCGCAGGCTGTGGTACACGTCTTCTGGATATATTTTACGTCCGGTATTGGCACTGGCTCGCTGACGTTTCGCCAATCATGCGGCTGGTTTCTTCAGAGCAGTGCCTAACAACTGACACTTTTGGGCCAAACGTCTGCGAGGCAGAGTCAATACTCGGTGCTATACTAGAGAGTTTAGGTCATATGCCGCGTATATTTAAAGTCAATAACATTGTACATAAAACATACTTATTTATTTTGCTATTCGTATTATAAAATTTTTTGATCTTCCATGCAACAAATATTTTTATATATTAAAAGGGTCGTTGTTATTCCTTGGTGATACTATATTATTTTTTTAAACATCCAACATTGGCTCTTAGACTTTGCCTATAACCTTCAGTTAAATATAAAAAACCTGTAATTATTATTAATATCTAAAAAAAAATACGAAGGTTACAGACAAAGTATAGTCAATTACTATTTATACTTAACCTGTGAGCTGTTTTCATCATAACAATACACAATAACAAATATTATAATTGAAAATAAATATAATGGAGAATAATTTATCTAATTAAAACACGCAACAAAACAAATGAATTCCAATTCAAAATTAACCAAAATATTTCCAATAATTAAGAAATCGGAAGTTTTGACCTAAAACTGTATATGTAGTGTTTTTTTTATACCGTCTTTCATTTTATTATAAACGCAACTGCCTCCAAGCATGGCCGAATAATAGCGAGGAATAGCAAAAGTTATTTACAAATCTGAAATTTGCATTAGTTATCATGGCTAATATTTTAAAGTAATTTTTTCACGTAAATAACTCCGTTTATTGAATTTATACACCAAAATTAGCAAAGTTGATAAATATTATTAAACCACAACCAGTTTTATTCGTTTATAAGTAAGGCACATTGGCCATTTTTTGACTACCTACCTAATTTAGTCCCCAGGAAGTTTGAAAGATGTCCTACCAACCTCAAAACAAAAAAGAAAACTGAGAAATACTTATACCTGCTTAGAATTGTTGAAGAAAAACTATAAAAAACTATTTTTTTATTATATATTATTTATTATGACTGGAGCATCTTGGTTACCTTTTATTTCTGTTGGTGAATGAAGTAACCGGCCATCATTATAGTATAAAAAATACAGAGGTGATTGGGTTGTTTTTCACTTGTGCGCGTAGGCATAACCTATAATTTTATCCTTCGCTTATTATGATGGCGCCACAACGAGCAAAACGGAGACGAACTAATATGGTGCACTTTCTCCGCCCCATATACGTCAATTCCAGAGGGTGGATGCCGTGCAACGTCCGTCACTAACTGCATATTGGATGGAGTTTTCCATTCGTCGCGCTACGCTGTGTTGGCAGCCATGCACGGATCATGTAAATAGAGCGAGCCCGATTTTACTCCAAACGAGTCTCCTATATTTGTTCGGAATATTTTAGTAAATTGAATGGAATACATTATTCCACCTAATTATATAGCATTCTATTCGAAATTTTATTAGTAAGAATACTGGACGAAAAATCTTCATTTCGAACCACTTAAAAAAATAAATTATCAAATTAATTGCTGAGACGGTGACGCCTTTGAATATAATTAATTATATATTCCTTATTTATATCTTAATTTAGCAAGGAATATTTTTATCTCTGTTGAACCAATTGGGTAACGGATAGATTCATTTACTTTTGATATAAATATATTAATATTTTTAGCGGATTTTTAGAAAATAGGTAGGTGTATACAGCTAAAATAATTTTATCTTTTAACCGATACGGCATACCACTGATTTAGTAGATAAAAAATCGAAATCGAGAAAATTAAGAGACGCAAATTTAATGCGATAGACGGAGATACAGGGTCGTAAAATTCAAACGTACCTTGGCTCGGTAATATCTCATTTAGTCAGTCACGAGAGACCATGCCTGCAGCTATTCCTATCCTTTGATTAGATATGCTTTGATGTATCGTAGGTGTATCCAGGTCAACATAGGAGCAACATTCTAATGAATATTATAGTACACATATTTAAGAAGTAATTATTGTTAACAGTAAAGGAAAAATCAAAATCAAAATAGTAGGATGCTAAAAGGCGAGAACATTATAATGAACCAATTTTTCATTTTTCATTTGCAGTTTTCATGTTCAAAAATTTGGCAGCAAAATACTGTTGTTGATATCATCAGGGAATGGTAATATTTATTTAAAATATTGATATTTGCAAAAAGTAAAGAATGATTTTGGAGAAAATCTCTTATATGATGTTGCCGTTATTTCGCCGTATTTTGTTCTACGTCCTTTGTTATGTGCTTTACAGGCGCACATTTAATTTTGTAGCAACATTGGAAAGCATTTATTCAAAAAAAATAGATATTTATTTGAAACGTAACGTAGGGTAAAACCTGAAACTCAGTCGACATATTGCTGCGTAAATATTATTTAATAACCAACACGTTGTTAGAAAAGTTTGTTTTAATCATCCATAGAAATAAAAATTGATTTTTAATTTTTAAAAAAGGTTCCATATCATAAATAAGATTTATTTAATTGATAGGAACACAACAATTTTAATGATAAATTCACGGCAGTAGTTTTTAAGCAATCAAAATTGATTTTACTGACAAATTGACAGTTTCGTTTCCCACGGATCCCAGCCACTTCGGACATTTCCGGGATTTTACCGCACGGATTTGGGAGCAATCGGATGTTTTCGGAAATATTTACCAGGCCTCGAATGTTGACGTTTATCAATTCTGACTGTCATGTTAGTGAATGTATTAGTGTTGTTTTGCGAAAATGTACCCAAAAACTAACGATCGTAGAAAAAGTATAGTATGCAACACGTTCGGTAAACTTTTTAAGTTACTCGCTCCGCTCGTGTCAAATAAACTCGTGAGTCAAATGCCGTTTATCGTACTTGTTGCATAATATACCACTGTTGTCACTTTCTTTATTTAAATTTCTTAAATATGTTTAAGAATATTTTACTTACTAGTCACCATGGCCACTGTGTTACGAACTCAACTGCAATAGTCTTGTCAAAGAAAAATGCCTTTAAAGTTGAAGTACTGGAAGGTTTTCATGAATATTTTTAGAAAATTTTTCATGAATATTTTTAGAAATTTTTTTCAAATATTCAAAAAAAAATTAGGCAATTATTTAATCTCCTACTATTGTTAATGAAATCATTTCGATAAAATTCCAAACTGAGAAATATAAATGGCTTTTTATTTAACCGTCAATTAAAAACCAAACATCCGTTTTATAGTACGCAAGCAGACAAGTCGTTAGATTTGTAGGATATTGATGCTGTAAAACAATAAAATAAGCTACTTCAATTTAAAATACAAGTAAAAAAGCAGAGATTTTTTTCTACTTCTTACTTAAATTAGTTTTCTTGTTGCATGAATCACCAAAATCTATTACTTTTGGGCTGCCAAATTTTACAACGACCTAGCAAAATAAGATTTTGTTGCAATTAAAGTACTTAGTTCATATATTTATATTCAAAAATTCTAGTCCCAGATATTAATAACACTGTAATCTGGATTCCGGACATCGAACTGGATGATTTTATTTCCTGCAGTCCGACGAATCCAAACCCAATTTTATTTTTCTGTTATTTTATCCGTCTTTAGATCAATACCACACAACACGTGGGGCCATACGATATGTCCAAAAATAAAATGGAAAACTTTCGTACACAAATACGCATTTCGTACGCCCGACCAACGAATCTTAACACACGTATATAATGGGAGGTTGTATCCGTTTAAATATTTAAATAATTCTTCGTTCCGTGCGCGTTTCGAAACTATTCCGGACATATAAATGATCAATTTTATTCAAATGATTTAATTATATCCTTATAGCTGACAAACAATTCTACGAATTTTGATTTTGCGTTAATTTAGATCGAACATCGAATCCGCGTTGCCGAATGCAAACGAATGTAAGTGGGTGTCTGTTCAGCTGCCGATACTTTATATTTATAGAATGGTTTTTAGTTTACGTTTCACTCGCCAAGCCACAATAAATTAAGAGTTGTTTGGGCGGTTAGTTATTTTAGACATTTTTAATAAATAATTAAACTAACTGGGGTACGCTGGAAATCGTAGTTTCTCACCAAAATCTAAATAAATCGCGTTATATACGAGCTACAATAAGAAATAGAACTTGTTTACCTTGGTGGTGAAAGCTGGCAAGGGTGGATCCAGGAAAAACTCTCGAGAGTCTGAAACACGATAATAAAACTAATATAAGACAATTAAAAAAGGTATTAACGAAATTAATTCATAGGGTTCACAGAAAAAAAAACCAACCTGGTATTAATCACTATCAGTGATTAACTGCGGAGATATTAACACTATGTTTTATTCCACAGCCCTTAACTGACAAATTATAAGGAAAATTTATATTCTATCAATATCACTAATAATCTAATAATAAACTTATAATTCTGTAATGACCACAATGTTTCTTTTTCTAACCGACCTAAACATGTTAGAAAGAATACTTTAGGAATCACGCGATAAGCCACTGAAAACGGTTTTGAATTTTTAACCCACCTCAGTGTCATTTTATAAGCGATATAGGTATCCGTAGATATTATAACAAATAATCAAACATTCCTAAACGCAAATCTATTCCTATATATTGCTATATATTTACTTTACTTTTTATTTTTTCTTTCTAGTGTTCTAGTTCAGTAAGCATAGATTGCAAGACATTTCATCTTTCAGATCAAGATCCGTTTGATAAAAATGGATCTTCACTACCAATTGTTTAGATTCGTAAAAATTTTAATTTTTGAGTAGTTTGTGCCTATAGAAATTTTACAACTTATATTTAATGTTGTTTTTTTCATAATTAAGTACTATGTACCTGGTTGTATAAATGTTTGCTGTGATTGATTGATTAATAATGTGATCTAGTTTGTAAAGGCCCGTACATTTATATTAGGACCCACAATATTAGTTGATAACTGTTGGGATAGTGTTTTTTATTATATTTATCTTTACTTTTCGTCCTGTGTCACTCAAACACCCATTTTGAGTAATCGTAAACTATTTGGATACACCTATACGTGACAGATTTCTTATTTCAATCGGAAATGCGTGTAAATCTCGAAATCAGTTTGGGCCACGCCTCGAATCTTATTTGAAACGTGCGTTGTTGACACAAACAAAGATTAAGTTTGTGTTACTCCGGGGATAACATAATTTATATTTCTGTTCCAGTTTTAGTCGCTCACGGGTATTAGCTTTTAGGGCTAGATGTGATGGGCGCCATTTTCGACGAGCTTATCCGGTTTATTTATGAATATGACAAAGGCCCGGCCGAAATTTGAGAATCGGTTTTGGTTTAACGATTACTAATGTGCAACAATTTTATGATCACAGATTACAGTATTCACACGACTGTTAAATACTTTTTAAATGCCTTCTTGTATCCACAATGTAAACTAAGCCGATAAATACGCATTTCACGGCGCTATAAGCGAAGAAAATGTATATTTGTCATTTTAATTATGTTAAACTATTCTTCTTCTTTTTCTTTTTTCTTCAAGTAAGCATACACATTTCAATCATGTTTTTGGAGCATAAATATACTCTGCAAAGATATGTGAAGTGTGAATGCAGTTAAAATACCTAAGAAACGGACAAGGAAAACAAGTCGGACCAAACGAAAATATCCAACCGTTTACATGTCTCCTACCTCTGCAAGATCACTGCGCAGTACAAATGGTGGACTTTATAGGAACCATTCAATTATCCCTTAGCTACATGCGAACTTTCTTTTTAACGATGCGCAGTCGGAAATATTAATATTTTAATGAAATTATTACCATGTGATATGAAAAGCCTGGCGGTAAGTGACCATTACCTGTGAAACACTAATAATAAATCTTTTGGATTTTTTTTCCGATTGACACGTTCCTTAACGAATTGTCGCAAATTGCGGTATGCACTAACTACGTTATATAAAAAATGAACAATTAGTGAGTGAAACCTTGCTCGATGATTTATTTCCATTTTCGATTACAGTTATTAGCAAACATTAAAATTGATTGTTTGTTACTTGAAAATATTACCTGAAAATCCGTAACTAATAGATTATTCATAACAAAATAAAATTGACCTTCGGTAGAATATGGCAAACAAATTAATAAGAAACTGCAAGGTGTTCATCAGAAAACCACGAAGACGAGAAGAATTCGCAGTGGTTATCGTCAATATCTGACGAGGACTGAAATTGATGCACAGCAAAATCAAATCACCTTTTATAAACGTGTAATAAGTCATAACAAACTTTTATGTTTGTGAATAAAAACGGAGGCTATGAACTAAATATTATTCTTAGTTTACTATAAAATGTACTGGCTTGTAGTCTTTGAACTTTAATAAAAGCCCTACAGTGATATAAAATTCCTATAGAAAAATCCACAGAATTTTAAACATCTCCCTTACCTATTAGACAACTCGAAGGGGTGAAGAACTCTCTCCACGTCCCCGAACAGCTTGAAGCATTGGATTTGACTTCGTCCAGGAAAAGTTGAGCCTAAAAAAAAGAAGTTCTATAAAATGACTTGTAGGTTTGGTTTTTATGTAGGTAACAAGACAATGCAAACTTAATTTAGTATACCAATTTTACATACAAAGATATGAATCAAGCAATAAATCAAAAAAGGAAAACAATAAAAAAACAACATTAAATAACAAATTAATATTAGAGATTAATAATCTAGGTAATTTCCCGTAAGAGATATTTTTTAAAATGAAATTTAAAAGCCCAATGAGAGACATTCTCCGATTGGATAATCCGAGGATATTTATTAAGTAGTTTAACAGATGTGTACGAGAAGGAGCTTTTAGTCATGGACTGCTTAATTTTAGATATTCCATAATGACAATTGAAGCGGGTTCCACGGAAATAAATGCGATTTCCACAAGTCAGTTTTTCCAGCAAATATGAGGGGCATCCAGTTTTCAGTAGTTTGTGAAGAAAACAAGCAAAATGTAATTCTTCTCAACTCGATATATTTAACTATTTTAAATCATGAAGTTTATAACTTATATGATCTCTTCGTTTAAGGTTATAAATAAATCAAATATAGAAATTCTGTGCTTTTTGTAATTTATACTTTATCAAAACATCCAAGCATCTAAAGTTTAGAATATCTATTTATAGATTTATAGATGTTGCGGAGATTAATATAAGCGTCTCGGAATTTTGGAAACCTGTGTACGAAATCTAAGTTCATTATCAAAGATGGATACCCAAATTTTTACATTCGTCAATAGCTGGAATTTTAACCCTATTTATAAAAATATCCAAGTTTTGGGTGGCACAATACTTAGCGGGCCGATAATATAATAATGAAGACTTATTCGGATTGAATTTCAAGACATGATAAGAACGATTCCAAACATTTATTTTGTCTCCTTGTAGTTTCCGCAACAGCAGAACGGTAAAAACAAATATGTATTTGCCTATCATCAGCATACCTGTGACTACTGAACTCACCAAAGCAACCCGACATATCTGCTGTGTAAATAATGAGAAAAAGAGGTCCTAATAATGAGCCTTGAGGGACCTCCATGTGAACTTTTAAGGCTTTCGCTCTAATGTTATCAATCGAAAACGAATCAATTGAATCGTCTTAAATGTAAACCCGTAGTATTTTAACTTGACACAGAGCACAGCATAATTGAGGGTATCGAAAGCTTTACTATAATCTAATAAGACCAAAGCCGATGTTTCCCCTTTATCTGCTGTTGAGAGAATATCATCCGAAACTTTGAGCAAAGCTGTAGCCGTACTGTACCCTTTGCGAAATCCTGACTGTAATTTAGGTAAAAGGTTGTTATTCGTAAAATAATCACAGATCTGACTATGAATTAAAGATTAAAAAGTTGAGTAAGAATAGGCAGTATAGTTGGTCAGCAAAGCATTTCTAGGCTAATTCCATCCGTGCCGTGTGCATTGGATTTCAATCCCATCAAAGCCCAGACGACCATCTCCTTGTTCATCGGCACGAGCTCAAATTCTGCTGATGTATATTTTGTACTAAGATATTTGGCAATGGTATCAAAGTCAACGGTATTAGGAATCTGAAGCACTGAGTCAACAAAATATTGATTAATGAGGTCAGGATTTCTCAGATGTTTAGGAATATCGACGTCCTTCTTTGATCTGTTGTAGATCTTCAGATGGTCTATGGTCTTCCAAATCTCTTTTGACTTTTTTGTACTACTAATATAGTCAATATAAGATTTTTTTTCAATCCGTACAGCCCAGGTGAAAAGATTTCTAAATTCCTTATAAGCCTCCAAGTTTTGTACATTTTTATTAATCTTATATTTCGAGAGGAGATGATTGCGATATTCTTTCATTACACGCAAAGCGTCGATAAAGGAGCAGGCGGTCTCGTTACCCATTTTTCAGTTATTAGTACGTGATAGTTAAAACGAGTTATGAACGTGTCAGAAAGCACAGCAGCCTTCTGACTTATATTAACACAATCAACCAATCCCTTTTAAAAGTATAAATATCAAATTGTTTAAAATTTCGATATCTAATAACTTTCGATTAGAAATTTCTAGGTAAATTAAGTGGTGATTCGACTGATCGTGCATGTCATGGTGATGAACATGACCACTTAACAGAAAAATAATCTAGAAAATCCGAAATTTAGGGAGTATGTTTGATACGAAAACTATTACCGTTGAACCGAAACTACTTAAATTTGTAAAAATATTTAAAAAAAAAATTACCCTGCTTACACAGACTATGTCCCCCACTGCAGCCGTTTCTAAAATATTAGTTAAGACAATTTCATTTATTCCTAAAAGGCTCAACAAAAATACATCCGGCATTTTAAATGTAAATGTCTCAATCTAGAAAATGGATTTCCGCCATTGGAGCACTCGGGCACATATCCAAAACGTCAGACGAAATTAAATCGGGGGAGGCCATCACAGAAAGGGGCTAAAATAAAACTGCTAAAAGGAATATATTGGCGAGCATGTCATCCGTTGTATTACATGGAAGAGTTTTTTCGTAAAGAAGACGAATTTGAAGATGATACATTTAAAAGTTAGATATTAAAATGCGTTTCAAATATGTAATAGTATATTATGCAATAAGTTTAATAAAGGCCACTTTAGTTACTGGTGTGTTGTGGCAGTTTATCAACGTATTGTTTACTATTTATATGTTTTCTATTTCTATTAGTTTTTGGGTACGGGCGAATAGGTAACATGTGTGGCGATCATCAGAACTGACAAATGTCAGAATTAAACGATCGCTCTCAAACCCGTGACCAAAGTTTTAATGAAACTGACGTCTTAAAATAATGGTTTGCAGGGAGTAGACAAGATTTATTATATATTCAATTAGAAGTACATGAGATACAAAAGGCTAAACCGAACATGAAATTTGCAATCAAACTGCTGAATATCCGTAAATCGACATATTAAAGGTTCATTGTCGAAGGATTACCGGAACAGACTTTTGTCCTCAACAGAATAAATATAGTCTTTAAGTCATTGATCATTTTGGAAAAAAAAACTGAAAATATTTTTTCTCAATTTTTTTTTAAATGAACTTTGTAAACGTAGCAATTAGATGTGAGGCTAATTGTTAATAATTAATAAAAAAAATATTATGTTTTAAAATTATTATTTTGAAAAAGGTAGTCTCTACAACAAATTTAAAAAAATGACGAATACCGAATGATGGTTTCTCAAGTTTAGAATATAAAGTGACTCATCAATTTTAATGCATAACGTTACTGTATTAAGATGAAACAATATTTTTTTTTATACAAACTTTTGTAGATTTCCATTGTGTTTCCGCGATTTGGCGTACTTTACTTCGAGACAAACGACGCGCTCCGGCATTTTTATTTGCGAATTTACTTTCGTCGTGTCATTTTTTTTTAGGACGAAGCGAAAAGGGAAAAGAAAACTCCACCCTCTCATATAGACCGTGCTCAAATCACCGTGTAATTTTAAAACCACAAAAGCAGCGTCGAGATTATGCCACCCCAACTTTGAGCAATTACCGTGAAGCATTTTTTAAGACCGGGTGTGTTTTTCTTTGTTATCGAGATTTAAAAAGGGCACTTCTTACCCGTGGCGGTAATTGCGATTGCGAAGACTAGTCGGAGTTGGTATTAGCTCTACGTAAGTAACCCCATCAAGTTTTATTAACTTCTAATTTAACCTATTGTCTATTTGCAAGACTAAAATGCGTCGCAGTGCTACAATACAATATACAATACTATCATAGCAAACGTTTGTTCCATATTTTTCCAATTTTAAAATGAAATTATCCACAATCCTACCGTGACTAAGATACACGTGATTAACATAAAAAACATCTTCTTTGCCTCCCTTTGCCTTATCTTAAAAATGAACCTGTTAAAAAACCGGGGATATCCCGTTCATCCAATTATCTTTTTTGCCTTAGGGCACCTAAAAAGACTTTAATTAAGAAAATTATACAGAAGCTCGTCCAAAGTACTAACGCGCCTTTACCATTCCAAAAGATAAAACGACCAATTTTAACAGCGTTGCCGTTTCTCACAATAGAAAAAATGCTTCCAAACAAAATCAGTATTCGTACACGTGTGGTATAGAACGCAATTTTCCAGGTTCCACTCTGGAGAAAAAAATTATTCAGTATATTTGATTACCCTGACTATAGTCTAACATTTAATATGGAAATTTAGAAAAACGTTTAAATATCGGCAACTACGCGAATCGCTGCACCTCCTTCATTCGAAATTCTTTTCAAAGCAAATATTATTTTTTTGAAATGGCCTAATAATACTTGTAGGAAATTATATCAAGATTAAAACTAGGCTTTTTTGTTGTAATAGTATTTTGATTTGGGTAGATATGAAAATGTTTCAAGAATTGGAAAGAAAAAGAAAAGAGAAACATCGCAAAAAACAAATTACTAAATTTTACAATTTTATTCTTGACTATGGTATATATTAAACATCTTAAGTTTATTACTTGAAGTTTAAATTCCACCGGAAAACTGTATTCTTACACGTACAAGTCATTTGAGAAGGCCCACACAACCAAATATTTTTTGCAACCGCGAACAGTCGTTCCATTAAAGAAGGAGGAGAAAGAAAAAAGTTTGGCTATTATCGTCCCTCCCTTTGCCTGCCGTTGACATTAGAAGTAATCAGAGTTTATGGCGAAAAAGTTTGGTGCAGAGATAAAGAACAACTGAGGCATAACTATTTCTGTCCATTTGGGATGTTTCTCTGCCACAAATATCAATTACCGCAGAAGCTTATGTACCTTGTTTTCGTATTAGGGACAGCTAGACCTCTCATTTGAGGTGAAGTTATATATATATATATATATATATATATATATATATATATATATATATATATATATATATATATATATATATATATATATATATATATATATATATATATATGCCGTTTGCCACACTTTTTGCATAATATTCTTTTTTTTCTACAATTTAAATTACCTATCATTTTGTACATATTCATCCGTGAATAGTTTTTACGACTCAAGATGAAAAGCTTTTACAAGCAATCTCAAAATTGGTCAGGAAATTTTAGTATTGGCATAAGGCAAATATCAATTCAGTTTCCGCACACCATGTGAAATTGGTGATTTTTGACGTTTGACGTTTGTAGACACTTTTCATAGGAGTCGTAGAGAAAAATAATATGTACAATACTATACAGATAACGAAAAATTTTACCGCACCTTAGGTCAAATCTCAAGTGCCACAAAGCTGCTCCGAAATTTTAAAGGAAGGAAGGACGTCCCTCTTTTTAGTTCAAATAATACTTGTACACAGTTAGATTTTAAAATGTCTTTTCTTTCTACTGCAAAATTTGTTACTTCCAGATAACCAATTCAATTACAAAAATTTTAATCCAACGATTACTGTTTTCGCAACATGTAATATATTACTATTTGCAAATCTAAAGATAAGGCCTTGAATTTTGAGAACCTAATTTATATAGAAATTTCAGAGATTGGAGTTTATTATATAGATCTATATGTTGCAATGATAAATAAACGGAACTATAGCCCATTACAATTCAAGGAATATTCTTATTTATATTGTATCATATAGCTACAGCTTTTCAACTAGCCTATGATGGTAATTTTAAATATTTACCACAAATTACAATATTTAATCATCGAAGGGTACTTCGCACTTTATATAACACAACAAATCTTAAACGATCACTGTTTCGCACTCGGTTTTGCACCAGTCGACGCAATAAAAAGAATATTATGCATTAATTTCCACTTGTATCTTTTTTAATGCTTGAATAAAATGTAAAACGTATAAAGTGGTACGGAGCGGACGAGTTGGGCGTTTCGAATCTCGAACAAGTAAGGTCGGGGCCAAAAGCACTTAAAAGCGCAGCAGTGAGATCTCTGCAAAACTTGAGAGTCGCCATTTTATAAGATTAAATCTGCCCGTCCGCACTCTGGACCTTGTACAAGCTACAGTAAGCTCAAATACTTGAGGGGAACATTAAATTCTTAAGTTGCCGGCGATAAAGAAATGGATATGTTGCACGATGCTCCGGCTAAATTGGATACAGAAATGCTCGCGAATATAAATATATTAACGATGCGTAGACGGTTTGTGTACGTTTTGAGTTGCTAAACAAAGCATTAAGGAACTTGGGGTTGATTAGAATTAAGTTTATCTAAATTCTATTCAGAACCTACCACTGGAACGTATATTAATCCCGGTTTGATTACAACATAATTCCTTTATTTGTAATTTTAATCAACACCCTTGAAATAAAACATTACCGTCAAGCGGGACTTGTTTGACTCCAAGGGGCAACTATAACAACTTTTTTCATTTGTTTTGCGACCCAAAAATAACAATATTTGAAGAAACTTCTACAAGACATCCGCGACCCAGAGAAAACTGTTCTTGTTCTAAATAACACACACCTACGTGTTTTTCTCTACCATCGAACAGCAATTAATTAAGAAAAAAGATTTCCTTTCTATGCAATGATTTAAAGCCTCCAATGATGGTAATTAAAATTTAAATCGTGTTTCTCATATTGTTCGACAATCTATTAAACATGTCCGCGTCCCCGCGGTTTAAAACGGCCTTTCGCCAAAAGAATAAATAAGAGCTGCCAGGTCAGTTCACTTTATAGCTATAGGAATCAGCGACTAACACGAGAAAGCTTTCGACCGCTGGGGAGCACCAAACGGAAATTGGACTCGGGGTCATAGGCGTCCCGAAATTTTTTTAACGAGCTGAATGGGAACCAACGAACAATTTTGCTTTTGAATTTTTGCTTCCTTAATGTATCGCCTGGTTTATTATTGGGCTGCGATATTTAATTTAATATTTATGGTAATGGAGGCAAATAATTTTGGAAATGGAAGAAATAAAAGCATAATAATTATAAATATCCAAAAAAATATACTTTTTCTACTCCCGTTTGTAAAATGCTTAATTATACACCGATCTAGCGTGCGGTAAGTGTCACTTTACTACGTCAGTTTCGTTTCCCACGGATGCAACACGTCAAACGTCAAAATTGAAAGCATGGGAAATATTTTCGAGAAGATTCGATTGCTCCCAAACCCGCGTGGTAAAATCCGGGAAATATCCGAAGTGGCTCGGATCCGTGGGAAACGAAACTGACGTGGTAAAGTGTCGCTTCCCGCACTCTAGAGTAGAAAAACTTTTTAACTCACTTGTTTATTAAAAACTCGCCCCGCTCGTGTCAAATAAACTCGTGCGTCAAATGCCGTTCACCGCACTTTTTGAATAATATACTATTAATACAGGATTGATATTTAATAGCTCTAATTTGTAGAAAAAAATATATCACCTCCTATAATTTTATAAAATAAATATACAGTCGTGAATTTCCGATAAATCAAAAGGACCTAGATGTACATAAAACACAAGACATAGGTACAAAACATCTTAAAATACATTTCTGTATCAATTTTTGTAATAAAAGGAGTCAAGCTTTAAATTTTATTCTAAATAATAGCAAAATACATTTGTGATCGTCTACTGAGAACAACTAAAATAATAAAACTGATTTTAGAGCAATTTTTAAATTTTGCAGTAATACCGGCGAATAATAATAATAAACAATAATAATCCTGGGAAAAATCTGACCGACTCAACGAATTCAAAATATTTTTCAATGCACTAATAAGAGTTTAGCGCCCAGCATACCTGCTTACCATTCGTGGATTCAACAGTTTGACCAGTCAGTTTAATTTTTTAATTAAATTTAATGAAAAATAGCAGCCCAAAAAATTATGTTTTTGGGAGGTAAAAGTTATTAAAGTATGTAGTCAACCTACTCATAACTAAAAGTAGGTTTCAGGTTAAAAAATACAGATTCCACCATGGAATCCAATTTTTGAATTAACATTTTCAGATAATTTCTTTTGGGTCTTCGAATTATAACGACACCACTGTATGACGGAAAGAAGTTTCCTTCGCAATACACTGCTACTCCCTAGCTTATCCGGCTTGCTGTTTTGCCACGGGAAACCATATTTATTCGAAATCTGACGGTTTGTGTAAACACTGATCCATTAAGGGGTGCGGGATATCATACGTTTGTAAGGGTGTGTTACAGGGGCAACATCAGATATGAAGGAATTTTGCACTAAGACAATGTTGGGATAATATCAAATCAGTCGCGACATAATGTAATAAGGACAAAGCTCAGAATTCGTAAAATAACTTGTTAGGCTAGTAGTAATATACCATAAGTTTTTTTTGAACACTCAGTAGAACTCTTGGGCCATATTTATGATATTCTCTAATGAAATTTGAAAGTAATACAGTGCACAGAGTTTCCATATCGAATGTTAAAGTTACTTCGGATTTTAATTTAATCAATAAGATCGGCGTTTTGGTTAATTTACCTCAAGATATCTTCTACACGGGGTTCGTCGGCGATGTCATATCTCTCCATATTTGGCACCTTCCGGTTGGCTCAATATGTTTAATAGGTTTAGACTACATCGTGCTACATTATTTTACAAATACAAGGACTGACAGATACAAGGAATCCAATTTACAGTTTATGCAGTGTGTTTCTACAGAACCAGAATTTTTGTTATATAGGTTATATGGATAAAACTAGATTTGATCAGTA